AATTTCTGGTGTGCAGCACAGTGTCCCAGTCATGCATGTGTAGACGTACATTCGTTTTCATGTTCTGTCATTAAAGGTTGTTACAAGATAGTGAATATAGTTCCCTGTGCTCTCTTCTGTGATACTCTTGCCTGAAGCACGTGACCTGAACTGAATCATGAGGAGACATCAGACAAACCCAAATTACAGAGACTCTACAAGCTACCTTGCCCACTCCTCAAAGTGTCAAAATTGTGAAAGGCAAAGAAAGAGGGAGGAAGGGTTCAAGAATCAAGAGACGAAGGAACCAGAGGATAACAAGATGCAGCGTGTGATCCTGGTTTGGATCCTGGCCCAGAGAGGGACATTGGTGGATTTGTAGCTAGAATGTGAGTAAGGTCTGGAGGTGGAAGTACCATTGTTGACTTCCTGGTTTCGGTCATTTTACTCTGGTTTTGTATGATGTTAACAGGGAGCTGGGCAACTGTTATATGGGAAATTTTTTGTACTACTTTTGCAGTGTTGTAAGTCTGAAAGTATTTGAAATAACTTGACATGAAGAATTAAAAACCTTAGGAAATGAGAAATACTTCCTATGGAAGCGTCATTACCAGTTGCTTGCTATGGGGTAAAGCTCTTTTCTGTTTTGGAGGCATGAGCTTGTCTGAACAGCTCATGTGGTACCAGCAAAGATGGCTGAAGTTACGGCCACTTACAGCTTTCCCAGGAAAATATACTCTCAGTTGAAACTCTTCACGAGCCTGCAAGAATCCAGACTGACTTGTGTGTGTGCACAACCTAAAAGCTGAGAGCTGTGTTGTATTCGGTGGACTTTCTGAGGACTCAGCCTAGGAGGTGGCCTCTCGGGTCGCTCGCAGACACTGTTCCAAAGCGGCAAGATAGAAGCCAGGATGCATGAGTTTTTGCAAAAACCAGGTAGTCAGAACATCAAAAGATAACTGTTAATTAAAGAAAACCAGATATTTCAAGTTCAGGAATTTAGTGCTTTTCTATGTGTGGGAGCGTCTGGGCTCATGAAGATCATTCCTTTGAGATGCACCTAGTATCTAGGGCCAGTGTCCTGTTCTTTCCCATCCTGAGTCCCTCAGGGGGCACCGGCTGGGGGTGGCAGCAGAGGCTGGGCTGCCTGCTTGTCTGCATCCTGAGTTCCCTCCACTCACTGTTGGAGGTGGAGGTAGTGGCTGATGACTTGAGGGCCACAGCGCCCTTTATTTACTGATTAGCTGGGAATGTTTTTCATTCACATAACCAATTCATTCTACAGGTATCTGTTTGTCCTGGACAGAGTGAGAGGCACTGGAAGGGACAGGGGTAAATAGAGACGGGCATCTGTCCTCAAGGAGGTTACACTTTACCAGTTGCATTCGGCAGCTCACAGCCAACTTCAACACTGTGTTGTGCGCTAACTGTGCCCAGGTAGCCTGGTGGGGGAGGGGGTGGAGGAAGCCCTTGCTGCTGTCAGATTCGTTCTGCAAGCAGAAGAGAAAAGGTTGCAGAACAAATGTCATTTCAGGGGGATGGGCAGAATGTGCCCTGGGAGAGGCGTGTTCTCCGTAAGGAGCTCTGCATAAATAAACACAAATACAAAAGCTTGGCTTGTTGGAGAGTAGCCAGGAAAGCAGAGTGATGAACACATTGACTGGGGCAGCAGACGAAACGTGAGAAAACCAAAAACACAAGAGGGTGTTTCCAGCTTGTGAGATGTGCTGCTGGGGCATCTGCTCATACCTTATGGCTAACAAGTTTGTTTCTGACAGTCTTTCTTATTGAAAAGAAATGCAGAGGGGAACACCGGTGCTGTTCTTGGATATTGGTGTCTTTTCTGTTTTCGAATTATCAGTTGGAGCTTGTGAATGAAAAATACTGCCAGCCATATCAATAAACAAAGAATGCTGTGGCCATCAAGTCATCAGCCTCTACCACCACCCCTGACAGTGAGTGGAGGGAACTCAGGATGCAAACAAGCAGGCAGCCTGGCCTCTGCTGCCACCCCCAGTGGTGCCTCCTGAGGGATGGGAAAGAACAGAACACTGGCCCTGTTACTGAGTCCAAACTTGTTCTGCTCGCTACACGACAGGCCAATAAATCAGGAGATGAGGTGCTAGGGCAAGGAATAGTGACTTTATTTGGAAAACTAGTAGACCGAGAAGATGGCAGATGAATGTCTTAGATAACCATCTTCCCCAAGTCATAATACAGGCTCCTTTTATACTAAAAAGGGGAGGGGGTGTGGTTGGTTGTTGCAGACTTCTTGGTGTAGGAATTGTTTGTTACTGCATCTGTCCGCGCGGTTCAGGTCCTGGTGCCCCTGCAAAACGT